AAAAAAAAAAAAAAAAAAAAGAGACAAAAATATACACTCTTAAATTTCAACGATGAGAAGACAAACAGCTCAATTAAAAACCAAAATATCTAAGGAGATGCTTTACCAAAGAAGATGTGCAGATGGCAAATAAGCATATAAGATGCTCAAACAAATAAATAAATAAAGATGCACAACATCATTTGTTGTTAGGAAACTGAAAGTTAAAAAACAATGAGAGGGCGTCCCTGGTGGTTCAGTGGTTAAGAATCCACCTGGCAATGAAGGGGACACAGGTTCGAGCCCTGGTCTGGGAAGATTCCCACATGCCGCGGAGCAACTAAGCCCGTGCGCCACAACTACTGAGCCCGTGTGCCACAACTACTGAAGCCCACACGCCTAGAGTCTGTGCTCCGCAACAAGAGAAGCCACCGCAATGAGAAGCCCACGCACCACAACAAAGAGTAGCCCCCGCTCGCCACAACTAGAGAAAGCCCACGTGCAGCGAGAAAGACCCAACACAGCCAAAAATAAATACATAAATAAATAAATTTATAAAAAATATAAAAACCAGTGAGAGTACTATACAACTATTAGAATGGCTGAAATCCAATAACCTGTATATCAAATGCTGATGAGGATGCAGAACAACAGGAATTCTCATTCATTGATGATGGAAATGTAAAATGGTACAGATACTTTGGCAGAGGCATAAGCTACCAAGCCAAACTCACACACAAAATGGAGAAACCTTAAATACATATTGCTAAGTGAATGAAATCAGTGTGAAAGTGCTACAGAGACTGTATGACTCCAATTACATTCTATAAAAGGCAAAGCTACTGAGACAGTAAAAAGATCAGTAGTTGCCAAGAATTTGGGGGTTTGGGGGAGGATGAATAGATGAAGCACAAGGGACTTATAGGACGAAACTGTTCTGTATAATACTGTAGTAGTGCATACATGACATTATGCACTTGTCAAAACTCATGGAATTTTACAACACAAAGAGTGAGCTTTAATATATGCAAAGTGAAAGAAAATTAGGAGGGTAAGGGATCCGAAGAAGGAATGCAGATGGTGACAAGAGAATCTACCTGTATACACATGAAAAAATCTTACTGAAAGAGGCTGGAGAGGGGAAATGTGCTGACCTAAGAAACTTTGGGGGTCTATAAGAATGAAGGCAAAAGGAAATCTGCACATAAGCATTGTATTCTACCTGATAAAGTTGTTTACCACGAGAACTACAGGTTAACAATTCTGATACTGATATACATGTATACTGGAACTGAACAACTAAGTGAACAGACAACGGTTGGTAGGGACCAAGAGACTCACTACTGGAATGGAAATTTACAGATAAGCAAGGGGAAGAGGCTAGAATGATCCATGGGGCAATGGATTAGAGCTGGAGACATGAGTATGAACTCAGGTTTAGCTTAATATAGACACACATGGTTACATAAAGAAATATTTATAGGTATGCATATACCACAGATATATTCATACAAGGGTTAGTATATGCACATTTATTTCTTTGCTTTGTCAGATGAGAAGACCTAAAAAAAACAACAACCCAGTAGCAACAAACATACCTAACACACAAATCTTGCTTTCTAATATCATTCTGCAATAAAAAGAACCAGGGCTGCTTGGAGAAAGGGCTGATTCCAGGGCTGGGGCAGGAAATATACAAGATAAGCCTAGAGCACCTCAGGGTGCCAGAAAATAAGGAAGTGCACAAAAAAACAAAAACAAAAAGCAAACCCGCACTGCTGGAGGTATATCAAAGGGGCACAGGAGTCAACCAAAAGAGCTCCCAATGGCAAAAGCTGGAACAACTTGAGCAACAAAATAAAGTAGTATTGGGTTATAACCCAAAATACAAAATAAATGTCCATGAGTCCATACTGATATAAATAATTGGATAAACTAAAAAATGAGGCAGAAGAGACAAATCTCCCATGCAGAATTCCAAAACGTTTATGCAGATACTCTGCCTAAAGGTAGGGAAGCATAATTCCCCACTACTTAAGTGTGAGCTGCACAGTGACTTCTTTCCCAAAAATACGGTATGGGAAAGCAGGGGGTGGGGGGGTGGGGGTGGGGGCGGGTAACTGCGTGGGTGATCAAGGTAAACAACAACAAACAAGAGAAAATTTACTAAGGTGCTAGCAGCATCAGTGATTTCTAAAACTTCCACTGCTGTAGTTAAAATGGTGCTTGGGTAGTAAATACATCTTTAACCTTTTAAGAGCTTCCACTAACTACTGATATAATAATGAACTATGTCAAACCCTGGGTTTAGCATTCACTGTCACGTATA